TGCCCATTAATGTTCAGTGTTTTGGATTAGGAAAAATACGTGCACATAAATATTTCAGTACGTAATCGTAGTTTGGATTATCTTTTCTTTCGTTTGGTCAGAACTTAGAGGAACGTTACTTTTACATTCTAGCAAGCAAGATTCAAGTTCGTCCCAATTGCACTTAGGCTACCTAAACATAAAAATATGATTGATATTTTTTAAACAAAACTGTAGACGAATAAAACTGCAAAATATACCTAAAATCTGATCAATCACTACATAATCCAAAACCGCTTAAATGTCCGTCATCGTAGTTCATTGTACCAACAATTAATCATAACTTCCACCCACGACAAATCTTATCTCGACAACCTAATAACAGCTCAACCTACTTTTGGCCCACTAACAAATGGAAGATTTACAATCCCTCTCTCGAAGTCCTTGTCGCAAGGCGCTAACGCAATCCAACGAGTATCAGTGTAAGAAGGCAAGTGGGATTATCAGAATCGTAACAAATGGTAGATTAGCGTCGGGGATTATCTATGGTCGCCATATTGGGAGAGCGGGAACATTCATTAGGGTACGACGTAATTGCTAATTGCAGCTCTTGACTTAGGCTTGGGAACTGGATCATGACCTGGGACTAGACATACGTGAACGTGAGTGAACAAATAGCGGGCGTTGCGGCGGAATTCTTTAATTAAACTGTATAATATGACAAAACTTTTTCCCACTAGCTTGTCAAACAACCCTTGCCCCTTACCATAGGTGGTGGGAGTAACTAGAAGTTTTTGTAATGGGAAAATCACAAGCTTACAATAACTTCCGAACCGTAATTTTTACAGCATTAAAGGTTGTACCATTTGGTTTAGAGCTAAAATAACCATAGCATACAGTACTAAATTTCTATCAAAACAATTCATACCGTTTTTGTTATCTAATTTTTCCTTATTTTACTGGAAAATTACAATTAAAAATCAAAATTTAAAAAAAACTGGAAAATTGTATGGTTCAGGAGGACTTGAAACGTATATTTACACCCAAAACTCAAACTCGAAAATTTTGACGAAAACAATACTTTCTTCATTATAAGGGGAGAGGGAATGTAAAAATTAATATTTGACATCTGTAACGTGGCACGGAACCATCGCAGTTCAAACGCTCTTAGGTTTTTTTTCTATATTTAATGCTATAACGTTATTTGCACAATCACCAGATGAACTTCACCATGCAAAACACAAATTTGAGACGTTGAGGCTGAGAATACCATAAAACAGTAAATATATAAAACATTAAAAGCAAAATAGATGTAGTAATACATGTGATAGTGATCTCGAATACAAAGAAATCAATAAGTTAATCGGCAATATAGATTTATATCATCGATTCAATTTTTTGTTTTTATCAATGATAAATTGCCTTTTATTATTTAAACCTCCTTAAATATTTGTGAATGAGTAATTAGTTAAATCCGCTAAAAGAAAAATGTTAGTATATTCTATGACTATCTACCAAATAACAATAGGAATCATAACACTGCATATTTTATCTTTGAGATGTATATGCTGCTAGTATTGTTCTGGATAATCTGCTTCCCACTACACAATCCCACAACAAAAACAATCGCATAGTAAATAATCGAACTATAATCTTTGAAAGCTCCACTGCAATATTTCAATTCATCGTTTCAACAATGGATGCGTCATCGTATAATCATACAGGCTGTGGATAGAAACGGACAATAATAGAACAATCAGCTGACTGAAGCATGTGTTTTTTTCTGAGCATTATTTGTAACAGTATGAGGTTTAGTATTTATTATTTATATACGTACACCGATGATTAAATTATCCCTTCCTTATTTCATATATCTGCAAACATAGTAAAAGACTTTATCAGTTAAAGTCACATATTAAGGTATTGGGCCAAGCTGATTGAGTAAAACCCATTAAGTAAGTAGTTTTATATACACTATCTCTTTTACACTGGCTTACGCACAGTTTTTATCCATGTTAAAGTGAATAAATGGGATGTATCCATTGTAATAACATTTTGGAACCTTTTTATAAAACACCTTACAAATACCTTTTACGGAAATTTTAGTTCAGATAAACAATTGTGCAACAACAATATTATCAATCTAATTATAATTTAATTTAAATTTGTTATGTTTTGATTGTTCTTTAGTGGGCGAATGAAAGGCTGAAAGAGGAGTTGTATTTTGTTACATTCCTACACGGATAGTGTTGTTATTCTTTGCATCTTAGAAAATAATAATAATGTAGATAATAATTAATAATAGTAGTTAAACAGGTTGCTGACTCAATTATTTTTGTATCAGTAAGTTATGAGAACACTTTTGTGCTTACAGTAAATGTCTAACCAATTAAGAACTCGCATGGTCATTTCAGATGCTGAAAAGGCAGTTTCGCCGTATTTGATTGACATATACACGCCGTCTACAACGGCGCTCCTTTGAATTTGAATTGAGAATGACTAGTTAATACTGGCTACAAAAACTCCCTAACAACAAGTACACTTAATAAATCATTTGACACAATTATTGGGATCGTTAAAATTGTAAACATTGAAAATAAATTAAAGGTACCTCATTGTTTAGTTTTTGACAATGTTCGATCCTGAGAAAGGTGGTAGATTTTTTAATGTTCCAAACTTGGCATCATGAACCATCAACAAGTGGAAAACCCCACTTTTCGTGGATTGAAGCATTAATTTTATCTGTATTATTATTTTGTGCTTTATTGAGATTGGTGTACATTTTCAATATTAGTTTTCTGTTTCAAGCACAAACAACATGTCTCAGTTAATTGATAGTTGTGTAATTTCCAGTGATGTGATATTTAGACTGTCTTGCAACTGGTTCTTCCGAATATGTGATCCCTCAAAAACCGGGTCAAACAAGAATGTTAATTTAAGTTCATTATAACCACACTTCAGATCAATTTCATAATCCACGCCCATCTTTCATAACTACCGAATTCATTTGCATAAATCACTTTTTTTTACAAACTCTTCATATTGAAAAGGTAAAAATGTTATGTTTTCAATAAGATTTATGTAGCCTAAGTACAATTCGTGAATGATAGGCTATTCGCGCATTACTTTTAATAAAAATTGCGTTCTTATCCAAACATTTTATTCTATCTAAATCAAAATATTACAAAAACATATCCGACGCCTCTAGCTTACAATAGGGTGTTGTTATCGAAACTTTACTATCCAAACCACAATCAATGCATCTACAAATGCTTTCTTTATAGTTTTATAGTGAGTTTTTTTAAATTGTGCAAAGACCACAAGTCTTATTTCAAACACATCAAATACATTCATTTACAAAGTTGGTAAATACTAAGAGCTGTAATTGACTTTACAAGTTTATAACTCTGCCAAGAGTTTCCTGGTTAACTACTTTAATCTCTTGACCTAGGTAAATTCCTCAAGTCTTCTCTTAATACCCATCGCATCAACTACCTAATTTACAACTTCTACTAGGAGTTGTTTCATTTACAAGTGTTTGACTCTAAGCGTGTTCTCCTCCGTCTAGAAACAAACCCCCTTTACGAATTACAATACCACAGTAAACTACTTCTGATCTTTTGACCTTCCTGAACAAGACACGAGTTCTACACAAGAAAGGCAAGACCAGCTGTTTGCAAGTTGCTAACTGGTAGGGGATGTGCGCTTGGAATCTGCAATTAAAACTGATAAGCCGTTCTACTATCTTGGCCAAGTAGGGTAGTGGACTTGTCTTGGCTGATTCCTATCCGTAACGACCTCACAAAAAAGGGTCTTACAAATTTGAATTTGAAATTTTCACTTGGTATAAAATAGTAACCAAAGCTATTTCTTGTGCTAGTGGTTATTTGTGCAAGCTGAAATTGAAGGTTTCAGATTTTGTCTTGATTTGACTTGTTGGTGACATTAATTGTTTGTAGCAAAAATAAGACGAGTTTGGTGTACCTTGGAGTACTTTCTTGATTTAAAAAATGTTTAAGTCCCTTCCTACATTCCTTGACAAATGAGCTTTCAAATCACTGTCAGCAATTTTACTTTTTAAATTTACTAGTATTTCATACATACAGACTATTTGAGTATGTACATACAACTCAAATAGTCTATATAACTTTAAGTACCAAATTTTGTAGATGGCTCAAATGCCAAAAGAGATCTAAATTTATACATTTATCCTTCTTCCAATTAATTACTTATACTTCATTGGATACTGCTCAAACTATTGTGAAATCTGAAGCAATTTCTGAAGTGTGTTTAATGTTCTGTAAATCTAGAATTCTAGATGGTGCTAATTACAATTACAGGTTTCTATCCATTTTAGAAAAACATTACATACATTTTTGAAACGTTTTAAAGTTTACAGAACTAATTAAATACCGTACCAAAACATATTCCAGCACAGACAATTAACAAACAACCAAAAACTTTTACAACTTTCTTCAGCCAATCCAAAAAGATCAAGAATCTATAAAAAGAGGGGTTTTCTATGGTCTAGTTGATTCAATTCCAAAGGATATTTATTCAACAGCTCATCTCCACACAAAGGAAAGCGTGCAAGGCTTTATTACATTAGCTTTAATACCTTAATAAGATAAACAAGCTCATTGTGCACAGCTTAAGCATGAGTGATGAAGTACCGGTAAGATGACCATCCTCGCTTGTCGTGGCTTTGCTCATGAAGATTTAAGTTAAACATATGTGACTACTTAAGTTAAACTATGAGAGAACTTCTTCATTTACAATTGTATCCAGGAGCTTCTTAGTCAATTCCAACAGAAATTCTCCCATGAAATCTACAGTACCAACGAATTCCGAAGGACAGCTGGGCCTAGTATTGAATCCCAATACTACAATTCGGCAATTGTTTTGGAGTTCTCATATAGCTCAACGATGATTACATAGTTTTATAGAAGCTTGATTTGCATAGCCCGCAGATGTAGTAAAACTCATAAATTCTTCCTCCTTACTCTGTTGTCTTGTTACAGATGGTCACATGACCAGGAGGAGTCCGCCAGCGTACAGTGATGGTGTGTACATGCTGGCGGGCCAGGACCGGCCCAGTCCTAGGAAACTCAGCACTCTCTTCATGAAGGGAGACGACGGCATGGGCTCCGCCAAGAACAGAACTGCTCTGCTCGCCTTCTTCGGTAAGTTTCAAGACTTTGTATGATTGCAGGTACATCTGACAATTATTTATGATTCAGACAGGTAATAGGATTTTGAAAAAAATTATAAATATTTTGAAATGTAGTGTGCTACAGCTAAAAAAAATTATATTTACAATATCTAGATATACAAAACCACACGTATCACAATGGTAGCTGTCACGATGGTAGATGTCACAATGGTAGCTGTCACATTGGTAGTTGTCACAATGGTAGCTGTTACAAAGGTAGCTATCACAATGGTACATGTCACAATGGTAACTGTCACAATGGTAGAAGTCACAATGGGGAAGCTGCCTTGATAATATATGTCGCAATGTCAATTGATTGGCGTCATTAATCTATGCACCGAATTTTAATTCACTACAAAAAAAGTTATCAAATTAAAACAAGGTTTGTGAAAAAACAAAGTGGTGGCTGTAGAGGTAATTTTTGGTTTTCAGAAATTTTTAACTTGATATTTCAGTTTGTCTTTGGTCCGGTCTGTCGAGAGTTCAGGGACACCCTGTATTTGTACAAATAACAAATAGACTGCAAAAGAATACCTATTTGGAGAAATTACAATGAGCAAAGAATATTTTCAGGGTATACTAATGTTCTTTCCCGAGCTCGGATCCCAGGTCTCCCAGTCTTTTCTATGTAGAAAGTGGTAACTGAGCTTCTTGCTAAAATTTGCTTTATGAAATACTTTTTTGATTTAAATATTTGTTGCGTTCAACTATCAAGTTTCCTGGTGATGCAAGGTTTGTGTAAAAATATTAACCATTCTCCACATCCCTTATGAAGACCAGATGAGGTTCCATATTCTAAAACATCATGAAAGATGGTGAAACTTATGTTTTGCCAATGAGTGATGGAAAATGTCTGCAATAATTCTTAAACAACGCAAACTTACTATCAAAAACCAAGTTGAAAAATAGTGTTTACCTTTCTATTTTTTTCATAATGTTGCTGCAGTATTGAGGATCCATAACCAAGTGCAAAACTTGAAGCTGTTTAAAATTACACGTTTCTGCTAAATGTTCTGCTTTTCACATTCCCTCCAGCAAAGTCAGCTAACTCTATTAGTTCATAAAATGCCCGTTTTACTGGCCTCTTGGGCCAAGTGCGGTTACTTTTACTTATGCTAATGGACAAGAACTTGTTCCTAATGTAGTCGCCACTCACTCTGAAGTCTCAAGTGGTTAGAATCAACATGAATAATTAATGTAACTAATCAGAAGATGTAGTTAATAAGACATATCTGCACTATGAATCTTCAGTATTTCAGGTGGAATTTCGTGGATATAGTCATTAATTTGGATTGCATGATTGGATCTGCTCAACCTTACAAGGTTTTGGTTTCTCACTTTTTAGTTCACTTGTGAAAACGATTCGTTCCATAAATATGGAATATTGAAAGATTATTCTTGGTTGCCTCAATGATTTGGTTGAGTCATTCAGAAAATAGGAAAGAAAATTGTTATTCAAAGAATTATGATTTTGATTTTTTAATTTCCAAAAGACGCCAACACAACTGTGATAAACTGAAGAAGGATAGATGTATGGAACTAACTGACGGGTTTCAAGTGGCACCCTTGCCATTTTAGGTACCTACCTTCATCTTCTGAAGAATAGAAGAATGTGGGGGAAATATATCAGACAGGTTATTGTATCATTTACTTAAGTAAAGTACGAAATACCCTAACCTTTCTGGTATCTACAGATCAATACGTAGTCTTGTGGAATAACAACAAAAATATGTTTTATCTTTCAACCTATGTTTTTCTTAAAGCAAACCACTAATTTAAAACCAGTTTGAAGAAAGAAGACAGAAGAAATCGCTTTACACCTCCAAGCATCGTTTCATTAGCCCAGATTTTTGCTTAGGTTCATTTTAATAAAAGAGGTTAAGTGTAAGTTGATCGAGGGCAGATCAAACAGCTGATCCATTATTGATGAGGCTACAAACAGATGTTTTAGCCTCTGACAGCTGATTGACTGGTTGCACAATATCTCTTGTACTGACCTGCATAATCAGGCTGGTCCAGAACTGATTGAGACACCAGAGAACAGAATCGGCAATGTAGTAATTACCATCAGTGACAGTCAAATGTTACTTGAAAGAAACTCGTCAGCCGGCACTCGTTCGCTTTTTCTGAATAGCATTGATTGAGCATTTACTTAGTTAAGAGAACATACTACTGATATATAAAATAGGTTTCTGTTTACTGATACTGTAACTTTAGAAGTACTATGTTGGTTTTCACACTTCTAATATTTGTTATGCTTACTAATGGTTGAGTGGTAAATGCTCACTCCATCAGAATATTTTAATCTACTTGTTACATTATTTTATTCTGCTTTATTTTTAGCTAAACCAAGCCAGAGGTTGATTTTTTTAAATCAATTACTTAGTTCTATGTCCTACCAGAAACATTTCTATTATATGCTGTTCTCCAAGTATTTTCATTGATAAAACAGCTCCCAAGTAGATTTTACATCATATTGGACGAAGGTCTTAATCCAGATTGTGTTTAGTGTTTTGTATATCGTCACTTGCAATACAAAGGGGCGCTAGTACATTGACTTATCACATGGTCTTATGCTCCATCGTTTTGCAAGCGTTGATATCTCGTTTCTAAATTTTTAAAAATCACGCTTAACTGTACCTTTGTTGGTTGAAGACAAAAAATACTTTAAACTTACAGAATTAATTTCAGCAAAACAATGATCCAACCTTTTCCATTCAGGTCAGGTGGTGAGCTCGGAGATTGTCATGGCCAGTGAGTCTGGGTGTCCCATAGAGGTGCACAACATAGAGATAGAGAAATGTGACGAGATGTACGACAGGGAGTGTGAGGGAGGAAAGTCCATCCCCTTCCACCGAGCTGGCTACGACAGGAAGACAGGCATGAGCCCCAACAGTCCTCGAGAACAGGCAAGTCCCTAAGTCCTCTATGAGATGGTAAAACTTTTGTGTTAAGTGTTAACAGCAGTGGATTGATAATTGTGGGGAAAACAGATAGGCAAAATATTTCAAATTTCAACGTAAAATCGAGACATCACTTGCTCTCTCGTTTTATCCATCATTGCCTGATTTAATTTTAGCTCCTCCTGTTTACTATTGGTTATTGTTCTATGATCTGTGTGCTATTGGACATTTCAGCACAATCACCCTGCAGTCAAATTGAATCCACATCTGTGATGCCCGGTGAGGATTAACATGTTTAATCCTCCTAGGGATAACCTCCCCTTCTGAAGATATTACTCTCCAAACAAACTCAAATTAAATTTTGAAGACAAGCACAAGTCTCAATACTAATTTACCTTAGATTCAACATACAGTTATTACATGGACTCCATTCAGTTTTTAAATCAATCTAGAATAAATTATGTTTCAAAGGATCCTTTTAGTTTTTACATTAAACTATTTAACATTGCTTGGAGTGTTCCACATTCAAAACGTAAAAAATGCCATTGGCTTAGAAAACACGCAATAACATCGATCCACATTTTACTACAAAAGAAGTTTATCCTATGAATATAACTTAACTAATGCACATGATTTGTTGTACATTGATGCAAATTCTACTCCATTCCACGTTTACTGACCATAAAAAGGTAATAAGTACAGTAAAACGATGTAACCTAAAAGTATAAATCTCTAATTGTATATCATTTTCTAAACTCATCCTTGCTATAACCAACTGTGGAAGTGTGAGGGTGTCTATGTAAGGGCTTTGCCCATATCTGAGGGCAGAAGACGAGTAGTTGTGTGGTGTGTGCGTGAGATGGCTGATGATCAGAGATGTAACAGACTGTACTTGTGAGTCAGATCACAGACCAGACTGTACCTACAAGTACAAGACTACTCTGCAGTGTCAGAACATATCTCTCATGAATTTCTTCTCGACAGGTTGAAGACCTCTGACTGATTAACTCTAGTGGAACTTGCTCTATGTTTGAGTATGAGGAGAGGCAAGTTTCAAATGAATGGAATAGCTAGCTTATGCTAAATAACTTTTTTTAGTATACACTTTGATGCTGTATTTTTTTACTACTTGAGTTTGAAGTTATTGAAAAACCATTGATATAATTAGCTTAGTCTGATGCAACCCAGGGAGTTTTCCTCTTTCCAAGTTTTCTCTCCTTTGTTTGTTTGATTATAGCGTTGCATATTCTTTTATAACTTGTCCAGCCCATCCCAAATGTCTTTTGTTGTCTTTTGCAAATTGTCCAGGTTGAATTTGAAATCTACTGACATATCTACAAACTTCCATTTGTAATACTAATCAATACTCGTAAACTAACGTTAGAAACCTACCAGATATAGAATTTACTTAAATTGATTTTAGATCAATGAATTGTCAAATGCACTTTATTCACGATAAATGTTTCTTTTCCAGATCAACCGAGTCTCAAGCTGGATCGATGGTAGTTTCATCTACAGCACCAGCGAGGCGTGGGTGAATGCTATGAGATCGTTCCAGAACGGAACATTCATGAGTGACACGACGGGCAAGTGGCCTGTCCGCAACACAATGCGAGTTCCTCTCTTCAACCAACCAGTGCCTCATGTGCTGCGGACACTCAGCCCTGAGAGACTCTTTTGTAAGTAACTGAATGAACAGTTGCAAACTAGAGTAGTTAACTCAAGAAACTACCTGATAAGATAACAAGAGTTGTATAGTTTACTTAAGTCTTTTAACAAGAATCAAAAGATGCTCTGGTTGTGTAAGATTATCATTTCTCAGTATTGAGTTGCTTTACTATCATTGTTGTTATACCATAGCTCAGATCATCAGATAATCAGATATTTACTATGTACCAATAGATCAGTTAATGCAATATTGTGAGTTTTTAAATTCATATTTGGGTTTCAAATACAATTAGTTGCACGAAAATCGTGGTAGTATATCATGAGGTTTTTTTGATAGTTGCAAAAACAAGCATTTAACTTTAAATCACTTTCCAAAATTGAATGAAGTAAAGTAAATCAAACACCGTACAGCATTATTTTTCTAAAATAATATTCTGTTACCGGTACCTTACTTTCAATAATTTATTTTTTCCTTCTTTTCCTGGGGCATTAAAAAAACTGTATATTCATCAAAACAGTTACAATAAAAATTATGTCACATGTCATTTCATTTTCAGTGCTGGGAGACCCCAGAAGCAACCAGAACCCAGCGCTGTTGTCCTTTGGTATCCTCTTCTTCAGATGGCACAATGTAGTGGCTGGTCGGGTACAAGCCGATCACCCGGAGTGGAACGACGAGGAAGTCTTCCAGAGGGCTCGGAGAATAGTCATTGCTAGTTTACAGGTTAGTAACATGGCAATGCATATTTTGTAGTATCAGAATAAAACTTTGATGCTAAGAAATGTGTTATTAGATTTTTTGATTTTACTTTCTGTTTCTATTGAATATAATAAAGATGGGGTGGTTTTATTGCCAGCGAGTTTGTACAAGAACTGCTCATGTTAGTTTGGCCAAGGGCCGCAAGTAACTAAAATCCATCACAGGTGGTTTCTGTATGTGTGTCCATCTGTCAGACCAAGTTGATCATCATCCAAAGGTCTATTCATTTCTGTTGAATCTCCCTAAGCTAGGCTCCCCAGATGTTTTAAGTCTCCTGGTGGATACCACTTGATATCATTAGACATCTATTGACATCACTATGTATCTAATGATATCAATACAATATGTAGTGATATCATTTAAATGTCTAATGATTTTCTATTGTTTTTTTCACTAGGGGCAATTGTCTTCATCTCTTTCATAAAGATAGGACATATTTAGGGAGTAATTTTTATTATTCTATCTCCTATGCTTACTTATATTATCTTCAGAAGATCCATTAGGATGTCTAAGAGGAAGCATTTCTAATTATTTATATGTATAAACATGTATACACGCAAGATTGATTTTTCTCCTCTGTTTAAGTTATAATTATCTTCAGCTAGTCCATAATGATAAGTCTCTAGAGAAATATATTTAATTTTATTTGCCTTTTTACCCTATAAAATTGAAACGAGTAAATGGAACATGATCATTTCCCCCTTCCAGAACATCATCATGTACGAGTATTTGCCAGCGTTCCTGGGAGAGGAGTTGCCAGAGTACGAAGGCTACAAGCTCGACACTCATCCTGGCATCACCCACGCTTTCCAGAGTTCAGCCTTCCGCTTCGGCCACACCATGATTCCTCCCGGGATCTACAGACGGGATGGGAAGTGCAACTACCGCAAGACTCACATGGGCAACCCGGCCCTGCGACTGTGTGCCCATTGGTGGGACTCTGGGGTGAGTTTGACCATTGACTTCTCATCCTATTGTTAAACCAAAAGCTGTTGATGTGTGATTCATTTCCAGTTATGTTATGTTGAAAGAATACTTTTCTATTCTAGGGTTAATTTTACAGCAAGTACTTTAAAATAATGTCTATGGCAATAATATTAGAGGAAGAGCATAGCAAACATAACATTCCTTGCAGTTAGGTATAACATGCTATATACTTGTTCCATCCTTCTCTATACAACCATATGATTGTGCAGGATGTAATGCATGAGACCAGCCTAGAAGAGCTGATGCTGGGAATGGCTTCTCAGCTGGCCGAGAAGGAAGACACAGTGTTGTGTTCTGATGTCAGAGACAAACTGTTTGGACCCAACGAGTTCAGCCGTCGGGACCTCGGGGCGCTCAACATCATGAGGGGCAGAGACAACGGAGTCCCAGACTACAACTCGGTAAACTCTATTACAAATAATAGTTCAAACATATCTCGCCCCAGAGAATCCATGATATGAAAGTAATTAGAGTGAATTAAAACTTGCTACATATGTTATGACATTTATATGCACTCTGCCAACGTCTGACTACAATAAAATCCACTTCTTAAGAAGTTGTTAGATAAAGGAAAACTTGAACACAGATTACACACGACTCAAAAACATAAAAACAAGAAATATCACAGATTTGGTAGGCTATAGTTTATTGCGTTTTCTTTTAAAAGTACAGTAACAGTTTTTGTCTTTCTTAGATTTCAGTTAATCGTATACTGAAGCAGGTTATTCCTTTCTCTCTGTATTATTGGGAAGTAATTGAAACATAAATATGCAATCTCACGATATTTCAACACCTGATTTACCAAACAATTACTTACAACTTTTTTTCCACAGGTGCGAATGTACTACGGTCTACCGAAGAAGAAAACCTGGACGGACATCAATCCAGAGTTCTTTGAAAAAAATCAGGAACTGTTGGAGAGTTTGAAGACGGCTTACAAAGGAGACGTTAACAACATCGACCTCTATATTGGAGGAATGTTGGAGTCCCAAGATGGACCAGGTGAACTGTTCACGGCAGTTATCAAGGAACAGTTTGTGAGGTTACGACAAGCTGACCGTTTCTGGTTCGAGAACGCTGAAAACGGGTAAGTTGTCTGGAGAATAACTATAATACACTCTCTTCTATTTGCCATCAAGCCACCAAATTCTCTTACCTTTTATAACTACAGTAGACCCTCCCTAATCCGGCACTCCAATAATCCGGCGTCTTCTGACGGGGGAGGTCTTCCGCAATCGCGGCAAAATTCTGATTATCTTCTGCAGCCGTCTAGACATCAACATCCACTCTTGCGGTCACGGAAACGTCATCGTCGTCTTTCATGATAGCGGCAAAATCAGACATTATTATCGCCTTCCACGGTCACGGAAACGACTTCGTCGTCATGTGCGATCGTGGGAAATCATGAACATCTCCCACAGCCGTTTAGACATTATCATTGTCTTCCACGATCGCGGCAAAATCATGAACATCACCCACGGACATCTAAACGTTATCATCGCCCCTGCGGTAACGGAAACGTCATTGTCGTCATGCACGATCAAGTTAAATTATGATTATCAAAAGCGGAACTTTGTAGACGTGTTTTAAGTGCATTTTAAGTGTTTTGCCTGTTATCTGGCATTTTCACTATATCTGCCGGATTACTGAGAGTCTACTGTATATCGTAATATCCAAAATTAATATGGTCTTCTGTAAAAGTTCTAAAGCACTCTATTTTTAAGTACCTATTTCTCCCTTTTGTTCCAATTTTGACCCATTTGACTCAATGATAACATAGTTAAATGAGTCTTTCTTAGTATGTGCTACCTCAATCTCCATAATACCTCATTCAGTTTTTCTTATTGTGACAGTTAATGGGGATATACAAGATAGTATAGATTACAATAAGCTTCCGTTTCTGCAAGACATATAATTCTAATGTTGGAGTGTAAGAAAAAATATCATGTTTTACAATATTAACTCTATAATATTTCTTTTAGTATCTAAATTGAGCCAAAAGTTACTGTAACTCCACCACTGGCTACTTTGCAATATGGTATGTAGATGGTATAGAGTCAAAAGATTATTTTTCATGGTTTTATAGAACCGTAGGTATAGTCAGTGCTCGATTTGTAAAATATGAGGTGCCGGAACTGTCACCTATTTAATATGGTTTGTTCCTATTTATGCCAATATTTTTATCTTTCCAAAAGAGAGGTACTGGAACTCCGTTCTGCCTCGTTCCCCCGCAAATCGAGCACTGGGTATAGTTTGAATTAATCTAACCATCATGGTAGCACTTGCTCATATGTTAAAGTGCTTCCCTAAGCAAAACTGTGTAAAGCTTGAACTATCTATAATCTTTGCTAGCAGTGAAAAATCAACCCTTACAGCAAAATTTGCAGCCCTTTTTAACAAGCTGTATACTCATGTTATCTCCATGCTGTAAATAATACTAGCAGATTCAAACAAATTTTAAAAATCTCCAGCCGAACAGGAGAAAACTCTGGCACAAAAGCAAACAATCCTGCAGATGTGCATACATATAAAGCTCTGTATATTTTCTTAGGATTTTTGTGAATAGCATAAAATCAAAATTACAAACAGCAAACAGTGACCAAAAAGTGAGGACTACCTGTGCTTATATTCTCACATAACTTGATTTATTTATTACTAACGTTGATTCATTCACAGTATTTTCACACCGGATGAGATAGAAGAGCTAAAACAGATCACCATGTGGGATATTCTCGTGAATGCAACGGATATTGTGCCCGGAGAGCTGCAGAAAGAGGTGTTCTTCTTTGTCGATGGAGACCCGTGTCCTCAGCCCTTCCAGCTCAACACTTCCCAGCTAGAGCCTTGCTCTTACCTCAAGGGATATGACTACTTCGAGGTAGGATACAGGTATTTTGAAATATGTCACTCTAATAGTTTAAGGAAGCAGTATTGTGGCACAATTGAAACTCACTGTCGAGAGGTTTGAAGAAGAGGTAGGTATATATAGAATGTCGAGTGATGAAATTGATTTTTTAAACAAAGAGAAAAAGGAGATACAGTTAAGATTACATGACCAATGCCTGTCACTAGCCACTTCACTTCGGCATAGACAATTACGATTAAATATTGTTAATTTATACAAGCGAATTTGCAAGCTGCAAAGAAACATGTGTGAACTATTTAGGTATACAATTTTTTCACCAGTTTTGTAGGCCTATAAGTTAAAAGCAAGCTAGTATACTGTACTTAATTAGGCAGGGCTAGCTTAAATGCAATTTGCTGCTAGTTTGCAAGCAAGTAGATTGTCAACTTGACCTGGACAGTCGAGCATGAAAAAATCATTATCAAACCAGAGTAATATGTTGGTGAACATAAAAGTTACAGTTTAAATAAGCCTCAATTTGATACTCTTTGTACTTATCAGGACTGTTTTCCCTCATTTTAGAGATATTAGTTTGCACAAAATCAGTTATGGTGGAAATATGTGTCGAGTGATGACAGAAACTTTACTGTTCAAACCTATACACATTTAAACCCATCGCCCATTTTTGTCACTTTTTCTGACTGGATTTTGAACAGAAACATATTTCTTGTTGGAGTAAGAACTAGAAATCATCCACTACCCCATATGCAGTCTTCCCTAACATTATAAATGTATTTACTTCAGGTTGAATCAATAAATATTATTTTTTTTCAATATTAACTACATGTCACCATAGATCTTTCAGTGCCATTGTGGTTTAAATCACAAACCAGTAACAACTCTTAAAGAGTACAGTAGGCTGATCTTTAACCAGCAATGTCTGAGCTAGAAAAAGCTGGGATTAGACAATAACAAAGCCACACCAATCACACTCCATTCTACACTCACTCCTTCATTCATGGAAATTGAATCACAGGATTTACCAAAATCATTTCTATGTGCCACAGGGCAGTGAACTGGCTTATGTTTACGCTTGCGTGTTCCTGGGCTTCGTGCCGCTTGTCTGCGGAGGAGCTGGGTACGGAGTCATCAAGCTGCAGAACCGCAGACGACGTCAGCTGCGCATGCTGCAGGAGGAACAGAAGACTGGCAATAAGGGCAACAACGCAGCAGCTTCTGTTGACAAAATGGCCGTCAGGTACAATCTACAGTATAGTCTGAGTAGAAGAGCATTATAGCGGTGTCTTTAAATCTGAAGGTTCGATTCAAAGGGACCAAGATGCAATATATTGTCACTGGGCTATCAATTAATGGTGCTACCCAACCAAAAATTCCTCAAAGTTAGATCGTAGTAAAACTAGGACTTAACCTGTCGTCTTACAAAAATTTTAAACGCAAACCACACTAAATAGTAGTTAAACACACTGAACAATTAATGAACCCATAAATATTAAACATCTTGTGCTTTTGTAGTAGGACCTTTTTGAGAGTAGAAAATGTATAAATGTTTTTTCTTCTTAGCGTAAATTTTGCAGTGTGTGTTTGGTTGGTTTTATTACCATGAGATACGCATTTACATTTTTGAATACATTGCTGCACCTTTATATTTTTTTAGGAAGAATGGTATTTTCCTGTTCAGGATATTTATCCATTTCAATAAATTTGAATATTTTTTGTGGTGCCTTTATCTAACTGTTGATTTATAACTAATTTGTTTTACTTTCAGAGAGTGGCTTCATGCAAACCATCGTCGAATAGTAAAACTCCGCTTTGGTCCTGAAGCTGCGCTACACACAGTTGATCGGAAGGGAGAGAAGCTGCGAACTGTCTCGTTCAAACAAGGAGATTCCGTAACAGTAGAAGAGTCTCAGGTAACGGTCTTGTCTTGACAAATGCTATAGAAACAGAAAGTCTTATCAATTACAAACTGCAGACAAAAGTTTTCTCAATAGATCTCGTCACTAATAAATCTCTTGCATATTATATAGCAGGACACAAGCCTGCAACTGTTTCACACAGAATTTTCAGAAAGGTATACGGTTTACCAAATCAAGGCACTGTCAATTAATTCACAAATAGTAATTTATTAATCAGATAAGAAAATTCAGGAGCACCTTTTCAAGAACAAAATCCTTGCTGTAATCTCTTAACTAGCCGCATGTTCTAATAGGTTTCTGATTCTTAACAGTAGCATTTAAATCAATTAACTAAGTATCAATACCAACATAGTGATAGAAAACTAGAATAATAGGTACCCCTGTTGCAGCACTCTATGGGCTCAAAACTTCACTTTCAAAGGTCAGATCAGGCTGGAGTCCTTTTTGTTTAATGTGCTGAATCAATCATTTTGCTTCTATCGAAATACATTGATGATTAACCAACACATGTTTCACACAGGTACCTGACAGAGGAAAGAAGAAGCGTCCCCTTGTCCTTATACGAGTTCCTCGAGACCATGATTTGGTTTTGGAGTTTGACTCAGTGTCTTCAAGACGGAAGTTCATGTCCAAATTTGAATCTTTCCTCAGTTCTCACAAAAAGCATCTTATAGCTCTTCAGGTAGGTGTATTGACCTAACAGTTAGAAATGATTCTTTAGACAAATTTTCTGGAATCAAGTTAAATGGACAGAGCTCCACAGTTTTCAGGAATCAAGCAGTTTTGTAAAATTGTCTATGGTAGAAGAACAAAACTCGTTGGCAAAAATGTTTCTTGCACAAGCAATTTTCAACTGTGGACAACACTGTAATTTAAAACTTGACAGTCAACTAGAAAGTGTATTTAACTTCCTAATGTTAATTACTTTCCTATCCTAGTCCAAATACTTCAGTACCTTAATACTATGTAAAAATTAAGTACATTTGATCATCAATACATTCTTTTATGATGGAAAAGACTATCCCACATATATTTTTGTTTGTAAATTTTCTAAAAATAAACAAATCACAACAGCCGAGTATTTCCATACATTCTTTTTTGGAATTGGAACATCACTGTTCCAGGCTCCACGAGATTTGATGCTGGCCAAAGCAGAAACCAGGGAGAGGAGACAAAAGAAGTTGGAACACTTTTTCCGAGAGGCGTATGCTCTGACTTTCGGTCTCAAACCTGGGGAGAAACGACGCAGGGAAGAAGAGAACGGAGAAGTTGTGATGCGTACATCTCTGTCCAGCTCGGAGTTTGCAAGTGCTCTTGGGATGAAAGCAGACGCTGTGTTTGTCAGGATGATGTTCAACATCGTGGACAAAGATGGAGATGGACGAATTTCATTCCAGGTAACATTTTGGTTTGGAAAGCAAATTTGTGTGGTAATCATCATCATCAAGCCTCATCTACAACCCCTATAACAATCTGGTTGTTTGCAATTTATAACTTTTTGCCTCTCCCAATTTAATTCATGTTTTCGGCTCACTTCATATTTGTATTGTAGGACTATTGTAAACGGGAGTCTACCAGTAGACCGACAAGATACTTGGTCGTCTGGCCACTAGACCGTCTTTTTTAATTAAATAGATAAATACTGAAAACCAGTACGTCGACAAGTTATTTCATCGTCATTCCAGTTGACCGGCCTGTAAAACTAAATTATTATATACGAGAAACCTACTTGTCGTCAATCGACCCGACCGACTTACCACTTGCTCGTCTTTTAGGTGGGGATAGGGGGCAGAGTGGGAGGAGCTAACCGGGGATTACCCAGGAGTTTGAGGCGCTTCTCGTGGTTGAACCACGTCGCTCGAGGCTAGAAGCCAGTCTTGCCAACTGAAAGTAGCCTAGCTCCGTCGAACACTACACACTCGGCGTGTTTATACAGTCTGGAGTTTAGTTGACGTTGGCGCGCAATTCTAATGGATAGTTTCGTCGTTTCTATAGCAACCGTGAAGTGACCTCGTTCTCGCGCATTCCTCTGCCTTTGTATTATTTAATCTGCTTTGAAAGATAAGACTCGCTTATGTGCATTGACTATTGAATCAAATAACAATATCATTAGGGGGTTTTGATAGTTTGTTTGGATAAAACTACGTACCGTATATTGTAGAATTACATTTGTAGTGTGGTAATATGGTGTATATATATATAATTAATACGCTACATGAAACTTTGTCGGTTGAACTCCTCCGCCATTTCTTAACCGATTTTATCCATTGACATCTCATTGGAAAGAGCGTGTCGCGTAGATTTGCCAACTGGCCTTACATTTTTTACAAAGTCCCTTGGGTTCTGCCCCAGTGGCTTTGAAAGTTCCCATGTTATCCTTATGAAGAACATAATTGTTTACATTTTGATCAGCTGTATAATTTAATTACTGTTATTTATTTTTCGATTCAATGAAACGCATTGAGTAAATTTATTTACTATTTGAGTTTGTGTAAACATAACCCCCAAAACGAAAACGGACCGTGTTAGTATGGTTGTATCTTGAATTTATATATTTATCGTTGCTTTGTGTCGCTATGACAGATCGTGTTAGCATGATTGTAACTTAAATTTGTGCATTTATCGTTGTTTTGTGTAGCTATAATTTGTTTATTTGTTGTTTTTTTTCTTTTAAATGCCTCCGACGCGACAACAACGAAACATAGAAAGGAGGCGTACACGTCAGCACCTGACCCTGGACAATCTCAACTATTAGGTTACGAATGCGAGCTAACACTACCCCTAAAAGACTTTTCGTTCTCAATTTGACCCTCTATCAATGACATGTGTTGCCTGTACAGCGAGGCATTTTGAGAAGGAGAAAACCAGCCGGAATGCTTAAGGTTTATCAATAACGAAGATCAGGGATTTAGGTAATCAGGGTCTGAGTTACACAATGGTAATATTTGAGTTGACTCTTTTTAAACTCTTTTTAAACTTTGAGTTAAACTTTTTTAAATATGACTGTTATTGGTTTTGAAATAACCCCTGTAATACTTTGCAATTGCTTGAATTTGAGCAACATGTACACTAGTATATATATAGGACCTGTGTATAATTTTGGGTAACATGGAGGTCAATTTACCTTGTGTAGGCCTATATCAAAAAAGTTTAATATCTTAAATTAATCCAAACGATTCATAGTAGCCAACAGGCACAAAGTATTGTAATTATGCAAGATGTTGTAAATTTCAAACATGTGTAACAGTTAAGTTTACTGCAACAGTAGTTCGTTAGCATTGTCTATTTAAGTAAGTTGTTATTAGGTGTATAAGTCGTTCATCAAGCGTCATGAGAAACGAAATCTGTTATAGAAGTGAAAAAATACAGTTAATCAAATGGTGCTGTATATAAAATATCTCCAAATAAAATTAGAGTTTTGTCTGTACACTGTTCAGAATGACATATTTTCCTCCTCGATAAGGGTTTACCTCCTCGCAAGTTATGTCAAAAAAGGTGTAATTGTAATTTTACTAAGAAAATTAAATCCAAAAAAAGGACTGGTTAATAGAACCAGATTAATGGCGAAAGTTATGAATGATGAAGTCTTGAAATTATTACTTGAAGTTCAGCTGGAAAACGAGTGTTCCTCTAAAATTCGTCCTCGAAAAGTTGGTCTTTATCTGCTAGAGCTGCATCCCCTGCTTACAGCATGGGGAATTGTACGTAACAATTTCAAGATACCGCGCTTTTGATGATCTAAAAATAATGGTTAAAGAACAACGAAACCAAGGTCATTTGGCTGAAGACGTTAGAGTGTTTACAAAAAGACATGGTATGTGAAGAGTTTCTTATTTAACATTTCAAAAGTAAGATAAACATTTTAACTGGTCTGTCAGTCAGTATTCTAAGCCTACTCTGTTAAAACCTTTATTAAAACAGTATTGAGCTTAAGATTTTTATTTACGGTTAGTTAAAAGTTAAGCGCTTAAAATTCTTCCTTTTTTTGTATTGAGAAGTTAAAAGGTAATTAAATTTTTTTAATGATTTTTAAATAGGTACTGTATAGTTAATATTAACTGGAAACAACTAGTCTATACTAGAGTAACAAATTACAAAATACAATACAAAGGAAAAGGGCATTCCTATGAATGCTATTGAGCATTGATTATTTAATGTATTTGGGTTTTATGATGTATTACTAACCAAAGGAATACTTACTAACCAACCGCGATACCAGTGACTTAATAACGGTCAACAGATGTTGGGTATCACGAGCTTAAAGGATCGCTAGACAAAGTTGCCCGAATCGCATGGATGGTAAAATAACTTCTGGCGATGTCTAGAGAGATTGTTATTTAGAACACATGAAATCCTTTCTATAACATAAATGTCGGCTAATCGTGTGATTCCAAGTACTTTTGCCTGATTTGAAACATATTTCCAAGCCCGTGCCAATATTACTTGTTTCTGTTCGAAAAGGCCATTGCTGTGATAATATCAGGTAAAACTAACATAGAAAGAAACTTGAAAAATACAAATTAACAATAAATTGGCAACATAATAAATATGGAGCATTACTGATATCGCAAGTAAAACAAAAAAGACTTAACTATATAAGTAATCGCAATGGGAAGAGAACGCGGAAGAAAATAATGTCTGTATATGCTGTGTATGCTAAGATCTGTATAGTCCTTGCCTTATATAATTGACAAATGCTTATATTTGCTCCAAACAAAAAAAATACCAAACCCTTCAAATATTTAAGTTGACGGGAGCGGGACCTACCACTTCTAAAGAACGCCACCGTGTCTGTCATCCCTATTCTCTTACTTAAGAACACCCCTAAAAACCTTCACCGAATAGGTAAGGTACTATCGTAAAAATAACGAGGAACTTATATAAATCAGTTTTAATTTACAATTCTCTGGACGTACATCACTGTGAGAACCGAAGCCTCGGGGAAAGTCCACGGATGCAGGACTCGTCACTAGGGCGGTCAATATCTTCAAAAGAACGCCACCGCGTCTGCTTTCCCTAACTTAACAACACCCTTATAAGCCCTAAATGAATAGAGACTATCATAAATATGACAAGCACCTTTTACAACTTCTTTCCATTTCCAATCAACCTGACCTGTCCTTCATCGGCGTGAGAACGAAAGTATTGGGGAAGTCCAGAGAAGCCTAGAACTGCGTAGATGAAAGAGAAGCCGCGTTGGATGACCTTGCCACCCCTTCGCATACCTTCATCAGCAATATCTCATAGTGACTTTTTACAACGCAATTTTTGTTGTCAATTTGTCTGATCTGAACAATTTAAATATTTCAAAATTAACTAAGCGAATAGCTGATTATAATTGGTTATTTTTATTGGTATTTGTGTAGCCACAATATCCGGATTGAGCGTAGTAAACGAACATCAACCAGGACGTGTTTGATTGATGCGAGCGAGCTCATCTTGAAAATGAAAGAGCATTTGACATTAAACCACAATAGGACCACATGGTATATTGGATTAAAATTTGCACTGGTTATCAGTGTTCGTTGACTTTGGAAATAAGTCAAACGTCACAGTGTCTAATGCTATTCAGCAAACATTCCACATAATTAGTTCCACTATTCGATCAACTTGAAATGCTTACATTTCTTAATAACGCTGCCATTGATTTTTATCGTATTAGCTTATCTAATGGCATAGTAAATACAACCCAAGGCTTCACCTGCGGTGAAGCAGCCATAAATATTTTACAGTACAGTACATAAGAAATAAACAGAGTATTACAATCATGACAATAATCATCCGTAGTGGCTTAGCCAAAAATGACAAAAGTAAGATATTATCATCATTGTGTCACGCACAGTTTAAATAGACACAGTTTAAATTTCGATCATAGTTAGTTGTAATAAACATTATGAATCGGCATATTTTGGGGTAGGAGTTAAGAATTTTATATTTGAATTTCAACGCAAAAAATCTTTTAAAATCAATATTTGATTTTCTCCGTAATTTTCTCTCTACAGCTTAAACCATACATTTTCGAAACTTTGAAAATACCAAAATCGTATTCCTCACCTACTAAAACATACATTTCGACATACGGATCAATATATTTGTACAATCCGTTCCTTAATAAAAACCTATATATTTTCATAATCGTCGCGCGAAATATAAGAATTTGTATTGACCTTATGGCTACATTATCGATCATAGTTGTAATAAACATTATGAATCGGCATATTTTGGGGTAGGAGTTAAGAATTTTATATTTGAATTTCAACACAAAAAATCTTTTAAAATCAATATTTCATTTTCCCCGTAATTTTCTCTCTACAGCTTAAACCATACATTTTCGAAACTTTGAAAATACCAAAATCGTATTCCTCACCTACTAAAACATACATTTCGACATACGGAT